AATATGACTCGAAGATATAGACGTATAAAAATCCACATGTAGTTAAGTGACATTTTTTTATTCAGCTCTTCTATAACACATATATCCCGAAAACAGTTCAGTTTGGATTGATCTATTCCACACATTATTCTTCCTTGTGAATACCTAAATTACCCATAATGCAACTAGACGAGATGCGGGTGTGGTATGTTGTAGCAGCTAATTTAGTGATCAAACATTCAGCTGCAGGATCAAAAGCTTCACACTTCCAGATTATCTTCTGAAACATTTGACACACACACACACACACACACACACACACACACACACACACACACACACACACACACACACACACCTCACCAGTCACTCGTGCTGTGAGTATGCCACCAAGATCAGGATAAACAAAATGTTGAAAGTCTTATTTTACATTTTGGTTAAATAACACGTCAGACTCAAATATACAATTTCTTGTAGAAACCTTCACCTTCACTCAGAGATGCAGGTGTGTTGTGCTCTGACTGTCGATGAACACTTTTGGAAACTCCATAACTCCAGATGATTTGACTTTTCAAACCTGTATTGGTCACACTCTAGTGATGATGACTGGATATCAGACTTCACAGCTCCCACTAAAGGCTTTCTACTACTTTAAAACATCCACAGTCTTTCCCACAGAGACCTGTCAACACTTTAATGTAATATCTGATGCTACTAATGACATGATGGGTATCTCATGAAGTAGAACAAGCCCTCATGAGGCTCATGCACTTTCAGACTGGCCTCATTATGATAGTTTGGCTAATACCAATTGTTTAATTTTGCCGTCACTAACCCGATCAAGATTATAAATCATGATATAGCTCCATCTTGTAACCACTTATATGACTGTAGGGGTCACATCTGATGACAAGTCAATAGCTTATCCTTCCTCTGGCTCTCTCTGTAGAGTCGTCCTTTCCCCATCTAACATCTTAGGTTATCATTTTTAGCTTTTAGAAAATAATGTTTGACTTGATGGTTGTTTTTTCTTTCACAAAAACCTCCAGACAGGAAGGCGGATATGTTTGTGTGTCTTTTGAAAAGCTAAAATCCTTGATCATATCACAAAATAAAGCCCCCGTATGGATCCTGGCTACAGTCAGAAAGTGCGTCTCCATACAGGACCCTCCATTGTCCCCTGTTGGATTCAAAGAGCCTTTAAACACTGATGAGAAACACTTTGAGAAATACAAAGTGAAGAACCGAGCAGCCATCTGTGCCAGGAGCCGGATCACACCCATCAATATTTTCTGTCACACACACTCGTTCACACACACACACCCCCTCCCCCTTTAACACACACACACACACGCGGCCCTGTAGATAATAGCTGAAAGTTGGACTTGACACGGATCAACATCTCCTGCGCTGTCTGTCCCCCAATCAATACTCCCCCCCCCCCCCCCTCCCCCCTCCTCTTATTATCAGCACTAATCTATATCTCTTTGTCCCGTTTTCTTTGGAGTCACCTCCTTCACTCGCCGTCTTTTCTCCAAATTACATTAAGGGACAATCCCTCGTGTTTCGGAGGTATAACGAATGTAAAATGACCTACATCGGAATGAGACAGAAGGAGATGCGGGCCACACGAGCCACGGGGCAGTGACCGAAAAAAGTGGGAGCGTCAGAAGAAAGGAGAGGCCGCGTCGATGGGAAGTTGATTGTGGAGATTTCACTTTTGCTGTCTTTTTTTCTTCTCTTTCGCAACAAAAGCGACAAAGAAAGAAAGGAAGGAGGGGGCTGCGAAACACAAATGTCTGAGAGTCCTTGCGGGCTTCTCTGCGTCCAAACAAAAACAAAATGGCAGCGTTAATAAAAAAGCGATCACTAATGCTGGTCTCGGCGCGAGGCCGCGGGCGTCGCAGGCGAGGACTCCAACCGGCTTTCTTCCAGGAGCCGCGCTCTTTTGTGGGGCCATGTGTCACGCTCAGAAACTTCCCATCACGAAACCTCCTCCCTCAATGAAGGCAGAGTGGAGAGTGTGAGGCTTTTCTTTTGGCTGGCCCATTAACAGGACGCCTGAAAGGACTGGAAATGAACTCGGGGTTTGTTCTTCTTCTGCTGCTGCTTTCACTTTTCCTTTTTCTGTCTGATTCTTCCCTCGCTGACCCCGAAGCCTCGTTATCGTTGTCTGACGCTCCGGGCGTTTCCAGGAGAGAACATAGTGTCTGTATGACCGAGTCAAAGCACGTCATGAGGCCATACTCGGTTTTCACTTTGTGACAATCTACCAAGAAATATTATGTACGAATAAAAGCCTGATATCTCTGCTTCCTCTGTGCCATACAGCGCCATTGTTGTCCCAAAACGATTCCAAACCCATCACTGGGGGACATGTTCCCATCATAATCACTAGAGCACCACATTTGGAGTATTTTTGAAGGTTAACATCTTCTTGAGCCAATGGTCTTTGGATATAAGCGCCAAGAACAGGAAGTCAGAAAGTCTTGCGTCACGGACTATCACGGTGGTCATATCAAAACAAACAAAACTCAAATGTGACCCTAATCCTCTTCCGTAGTTATACGTCTATTCAGCAATTAGCAGTGAAAGATTAGGCCGCAGTGAGTGAAATGTGACGGGACAAAACACCTTGAAAGTGCCTTGGGTTCAGAGGATTAACAAAAGAGATGAAGGTACAGTAGGGAGGCGTGTGGCGCAGTGGGTTGTGCGTTGGTGTTCGGATCGGGGGGTCACAGGTTCAAACCCCACTGCAGTCAGCATGTCGTTGTGTCCCTGAGACACTTCACCCCAAGTTGCTCCTGTGGGGATTGTCCACAGTATTGAGTATGTAAGTCGCTTTGGATAAAAGCGTCTAACATGTAATGTAATGTAGATGAAATCAGCTCACTTTGTTGGACCAGGATAACCCACTTTATAATATAACAAACATTATTACAGTCTGTTGATTAAATCTGGAGCGTAGATTTGAAGACTACGGTTATTAGTTGAAGCTCCCTTCCGATCTTTCAAACTCAACTCGGTCTTTGGTGATCTGTAGATGACTGGTTGATATTTTAAAGTCATTTATCAAGTCTGTTTGTAGCGTGAAGTCAGTGAAACATCTGTCTTCGTCTTCATGTGGACGTCTGATCTGCTCTCTTATTGGCTGCTTCTTCCGCTCTGAGGCTCTTCCAGTGTTTTGCTCACATGTCGGCCATGTTTTGTGTCAGCTGAGAGACGGCTTCACAGGCGATCTGTAGCCAACCGAGGTGGGAACCATTAACCAGAGAGAGCCCACTGCCAATGCATTCTCTGTGTGTGTTCACACTCTGGGACTGAAGAGAGGCGTGATGCTTGTGACTGTGAACACATTTATATATCACCTCTTCATCTGACGGCGGTGCAGTCATTCAGTCCATCTCACGTTACATATTGAGCTTCTTCTGTCTTTCTATTGACACTACCTAACATAAACTCAACTCTGCTTTGATTTCACATTAAATATCCTCCAGGCAAAAGTCTATACTTCAAAAAGTAAACATTTAATCCTAAAAATCTACAATACCTGCGGCAGCTCAAGTTAAAAAAAATCCCAATACCTTTTACAGCATTTAAGGGTTTATCTTTCATACACTTTAAAATGATGAAGTTCATCACGAAACAGTTCTTCTGTTCTAGAAGTATAACAGAAAACCATTTTGAAAAGTCAACCAAACACTTATTTTCTCAACAATTCATGGTTTTATAATCATAATTTTATCTTGTTAATGTACAACTTTAATTAAAAAAGAATCTGAGTTTTTTTACTAACAGATATATAGCTTTTAAAAAACTCTATAAATGTTTCTGATTTTTCAAGTCAACTATTTTATTGAGTAAATTTACCATTTTGATATCTGAGAATATCTGAGTTTTTTCTCTAAATTTTTTTACTTACATTCTCAAAACTTTCTTGCAATGTTATAATCTCAAAAGAATATTCAAGTGTTTTTATTATAAATATGTGATTTCTTTATTTTGATTTAATTTGCCAATCAAATCGAATATCCACGTTTTTTTTCTCGTAAGATTTAATAATTTCTTTACTGGAAATGTATAGACAAAATTGTGTAAATATGTTTTTTATTTTTTATTTAATGCACAACTTTAATCTCAAAATTAAAAAAATGTGTTACAATTGTATACTCTTGATTCTTGCAACTTTACAATCTCAGCAAATAAAGTTATTGACATACATTTCTGACCTATAATCTCGGAAATTATTTTTTATCATACATTTTTTATTGCAACATCTTCAATTTACAACACAGTACAGAAGACAATTCAGGTTGCACAACATTTTGGATTAATTCAATCCCATCCCATTACCCTACACCAGTGCTTCTCAAAGTGTGGTCCGCGGACCACTGGTGGTCCGTGAGCGCCCCCTAGTGGTCCGTGAGTATATTGGTAACATTTCACATTTTAAATAAATAAATAAATTTAAGTTTTCCGCACTCTCGCGGGAATATCTTCGCAATGGAGCGAGCTTAAGTTTAACTTTCGATTGCATGATATAGCCCAGCGCAACACCTTCGTCACACATGTTGCCACCTGTTTGTACCATTTTCAGGCGATTTGTAATCTGTTCTAGAAAAACGATGTGTTTTTGGATATTTGTGGAGTTAGGTGGTCCGCGAGTGTTTTTTTATTGGTTAAGTGGTCCTTGGTATAAAAAAGTTTGAGAAACACGCCGACACCTCCTCATCACTCCACCGCTCCCATGTTTTCTTTTGTGTTGCCATAAGTTATTCTCTCTCCGTTGGTGCACGGGGCTAATGCTATTAATGCTAATGCGACGAAATACAATGGCGGCTTCAAAAAACTTTTCCGAGTTTTACGGGGCGTGGTTTGCAATTCGCCTAGCCAATAGAAATTGGAACTTTTTTCACCCCAGGAAAGTCCCACCTCTCTAGCAGGGACTAAACAGGGGGGAAAAGTTCTCATGAACTAAGTTCTCTTTTTGGTGTGAACGCAAAATCCCAGGAACTATCGGAACTAAACGGGAAAAGTACCCCGGTGTGAAAGCGCCTATTGGTTCCCTGGTGACAAAATGAACAGTAAGGGTCAGGTACCAATCCAATTCTGTGTCTAACTATTGGTGTTAGATATGCTCTATGACAACATTTCAGATGGTTTGGGTTTTTTGAAGCACCCGTAACATTAGCCCAAATTGCATCCCAATCCAATTCTTGTCCTAAAGTGGATATTTCCCTATCCCATGCTCTCATGCCTGATGTAGGCATATCTTTCTGGGAGTTAAGATTGTCATGGATAAACAAAACTATTTGTTTGGGAGCACTGTTTTTTTCTTGTACATTTTATCTTGAAACATCCAAAGTAAAAAAAATGTATTACTTTATAAATCCAGAGAATATTCACTTTTTTACTGTCGACCTTTAAAGTCCCCTGGTTCTTCATATTCAAATAAGACCTACAGATCGATGTCCTAATATTGTGGCTTTGTTTTACCAATATCTCTCTCAGATAAATCAGACCCTAACCATGTATCAAAACCAATTCCCTTACAAACTGTCAGGGTTTGAACTCTGAGTTTTTATCCCTCCTGTCTCTCAGGTCTGGACCCCTCTCAGCGGCAGGGGGTCGAGGGTCTGATCTCCGTCGCTCCGAGCCGCTTCGACCACACCGCCCTCTTCACCGTGTTACAGAAACACACTCTGCAGCACCGCATGAACGACTCCTTCTCCTGCCTGGTACACACACACACACACACACACACACACACACACACACACACACACACACACACACACACACACACACACACACACACACACACACACACACACACACACACAGAATGAGTGAGGGTAAAATGACATTACATTCAAAATGTCATGACACCAAGAAATTAATTGGCAACCAAATTTGACTTAAATTAGTTAGTAACAATCAAACTCTCTCTGCTCTTAATTCCCATCATACAATCACTTCTTTGGTCGTGTTACTCAAAGCAAATGTCAGCTGCATTACATGATATTGTATTTTTCTTCTGACAACTTTAATTAAACATTCAATCTTAATATGAGAGTAAAGAAACAGCGATGTGCAGCTGGCAGTAGAAGAAAGAGAGGAGGAGGAGGAGGGTGTAATCGGACAAAGCAGTGACATTTATTTATCATGTTTACACACAATCATAAGATAAAACGAAAATGATCAATTCATAACTAAATCAAGATATACAGTTATACACAGGTCTCATAAACAGTTTCATCAAATCTGAACTGAATGTCATTTCTTTTACATTTGAAGCTCCTTTTGAGGTTTTTGAGTGAAGCTGGTCATATTTTTAACATCACATGCAATCAATTTGAATAAAGTCAAACTCATCGGAACAAATGATATATTAAAAAGTTAATTATAAAAAATAACCATTCTCTAATGACTATAACTCTTGAAAGTGAAGTGTCTTTAGAAATCTTAATCATGTGTTAATTAGCAGTAGAGGAAGCGAGTCACATTTCTTTCTTGCATTTTATTTAATTTTTTAATTTTTTTAAGGATCTGACAATTTCTCTCTTTCTCTCAAATCAAAATAACTTTTTAGACCGTAATGACAGACAGGAAATCTTTTCGAGTAACATCCACAGGAATCATAAAGGCCAATTATTGATGATGGTTCAGGATATAACTGATAATAAATACACACATTACTTACAGGGTTCCCGCAGGGTCTTAAAAAGTCTTACATTTGATCAAAAAAATAAGAAAGGTCTTAAATATGATACCTAGCAACCAATCTTCAGCTAGCGGCAGTCAGAAAGTAAGTTCAACCGTATTTGGTTGGAAAATTTCATATTTAATACTCCATAATTCCATAATTCCATATATTTTGAATATATATATATTTGTATATATATATATATATATATATATATATATATAATATCTGTATGTATATTTTCTATTTTGTATTTTGACATGTATATTTTATATTTTATTTTATATTTTATTTTATTTTATTTCTATTCTTGTATATTTTGTTTTATTGTAAAATGCCTTTTATGCTGCTGTAACAAAAACAATTTCCCAATTTGGGATCAATAAAGTACGATCTATCTATCTATCTATCTATCTAAAACATTGAATGTAGTGCTTGGTTGAAACCAGTGGAGGGGAACGTGTTTGAAGCCCGCTGCACCTTTTGCTAATGTAGCGTTAGCTAGTTCAGCGTTAGCTAGTGCAGCAGCTCCCGCAACAACATCGGGGACCTCCGGGCGACGTTTGGGTCTACGCCAACTTTAAAAGCGGAGGTGCTGTGGACGCTAAATACCGTAGATGAACACCAATCATACAACAGCAACGATGAAAGATTGTAGCCAAGGCAGCAGAGCTCAATAAAGCTCTAGAAATAGTCCTAACTTCACACTTCCAGATGATCTTCTGAAACAACACACACACACACACACACACACACACACACACACACACACACACACACACACACACACACACACACACACACACACACACAGAGACACACACACACTTTTTGTCTAACATGCTAACACAGTTCTGTGTACTGTTATGCTGTTATGTTCAGTCATAGTTCTTATGCTGAACGTGAATACATTTACTTTGAAAGTAATTATGGGACGTATTTCTTCTTTCATAGCAATTTTCCTTCATACTTTCTTGCTGTGAAATAGGTCTTAAATCCTATTCAAAGTGGTCTTAAAAAGGTCTTAAAAAGTCTTAAACTTGAGTTGGTGAAACCTGCAGGAACCCTGTACTTAGAAGACATCTCTGTTTCTCCCCCCTCCCCCTCCCTCTCTCTCAGCCTGGGGGACTCTCACACTGGTTGAGGGGATAAACGCTCTAATCAATACCTAACAAATAGGAACATGACCCTCATAGACAACTGCTGTGTGACTCAATGGAGCGGGGAGAGAGGGGGGGGGGAGAAGCCGAAATAAGTGTGTATTGGGGGGGGGGGAGTTGGGTTGCGTGCAAATAGGCGAGAACCCCACGTCTATATGGTCCACATTCACTTGTGTTCATCATGCTGTCATACCTAAAGTCTTCTGCTAAGGTCTTTTCACTCTGACATCGAAACAAGATCAAGTTTTAGGTTTAAAAAAAACGATAATAACGTATGCCTATATTTTTAACCTACAAACAGTTCAACAGAAAATACACAACATTACATCAGCAGGACCGAAGCTACTGAAAACATGTTTCCCAAAGGTCATTAAAATCATTGAAAGTTTGATGGACCAAAATCAAGGGCTTGGAAAAAGACAAACTAAAACTCCTCAGAGCTACAACCAAAACTAAAGTGGATCCCTTTCTCAAATGTTCCATGTCGTACGCTTGGATTTGAATGGGTGTATGAAAGGTTCTTGATGAATTTGATGTTTAGTCTGTGAACCCTTTAAAAAGTCTCAAAAGGCATCCAATGAAAAGAAGGCCCTTTTGTGTATTAAAATGTCTTGAATCCATCCTCAAAAAGTCTCTTCAAATGCCAAAACATGGGCAGTACCAATTGAAGAAAAATCATTCTGACCTTGCGTTGTACATTCTCAAAATAATTGGTCAAATCCAATGCCTCTCGCATTCTTCCCATGCAAATAGCGGAACGTTAAGCATACAATTGGTCCTAAATGTCATTATAAGTGCCATAATAAAAACGTTCCCTTTGCTGTATCACCTCTGCTGTCCTCGCACCTTACATATTATATATTAATCTCATGCATTGGTCATGTGAAACCTCCCAAAGTGATTCCTATCAGCCACACAGTTGGTGCTACTTCAACAGTACAGGTTGTTGAATCAGATAAAGTCATTTCATCTATGGATTTACTTTCTCAGCAGTTGGTGGAGACCAAGGCAGAGCTTCATAAATGGGAATATTGGACTTTAATTAATCATACAAACCTAAGTTGTAGGAACCCTGCTCACACGCTCTTGCTTTGAAAACACTTGTTCTGTTACGTGAGTCTTCTTTAAGTGATTCCTATTAGCCACTCAGCATGTGTCCGACAGTAAAACTCGTCCCGACATGTGTTGCGTTGTGTTCCCGTCTTTTTAAAAAGCAGCAGAACAGGAGATGTTCCTCAGAGTGACATCTGTGCCTCTTTCATTTCTCTACCTGCTCACCAGGACTCTCTCCAGCTCTGCAATTAGACGGATCCTTTCACGCCGCCCCTCCAGATCCTCTCCCCTCGGCCTTTTGTGAAAACTCCAGGGCTTTGTGTTCCAGCCTGAGCCCCTTTTCACCAAACACTCTGAGAAAAGGCCAGTTTCTCGGCGTGGGGGACATCTGTTGAGAAGTGGCTTGGATTCATGTCATACACGGGGTCATATTTTATTCACAAAGAGTTGAACCCAACAACAACAACAGTAATTAGGCAGAAATGTGGTTTTGTAGCTGGGGCCCCGAGTCCTGCTGACGGGATCAGAGCCGTTCCCACTGACGATTGAAGGGTTAAGTCCCACAATGCACCATTCAGGTCCAGCTGTCTGACACAACTCCATCCATGTAGGTGGTAACACTAGGGCGAGGACATTCTTGGAATAGCTTAATCCAAAAACAAAAAAAAAAATTACTAAGAACTTTGGAGGAACTGTTTATGCGGATATTCAACATGTGAGGCCTTAAGGGATGTTTCTCCCAAATTAAGCCCTTTGTTCAAAATATATTCTTAGTAGTTGTGAGCCATTTCAGGTACAGAAGAACCTGAAATGAATAGATTTTGCAGGCAATATTAACATGATATTACCTTGGTACCTCGTTAACATGTCAGCCGATAGCAGAACATCATGAACATTCATCAGGGTTGTTGTTGTGCTCACGTGATAAAGGTCAGTCCAAGATGTGCTCTTTAAGCTCCGTGTTTGGTCTCCTCCACCTCCAGAGGTATATATCTGTCTCTAGTAAATACTCAACTTTGTTCACCAGCTAGTCTCTAAACTCTGAATGCTGTTTGCTGCTGACAGTGGGTTCACAGGAGACTGAACAGACAATATATGTTGACATTTGACACTGTTACAGTATAATTATTCATTTATTCCATGGATCAACATCATTCATATATTTCTCAGGAGATGGTGGAGACCAAAGTATAGACATTACCGAATGTCCAACATTTCTGCCCCGTGGAGCTGAAACAGTTGAATCAGTCAGGATTAGGGTTGGAAAGGGGCGGAAAAGTCCCGGTAAATTTCCCTGGGAAGTTAAGCTGGGGAATTTTGGAAATATTCCATATTTGAAATAAATAAATACATTTAAGTTTTCCGCACTCTCGCGGGAATATCTCCGCGAGAAAGCTTAAGTTTCTTTCGATTGCATGATATAGCCCAGCGCAACACCTTCGTCACACATGTTGCCACTTGTTTGTACCATTTTCAGGCGATTTGTAATCTGTTCTAGAAAAACGATGTGTTTTGGGATATTTGGGGAGTTAGGTCGTCCGCGAGTGTTTTTTTTATTGGTTAAGTGTCCTTGGTATGAAAAAGTTTGAGAAACACTGTACTAGATGAATACATTTGTATGTGATATTTGCAATTTAAACATTAACTAAATATATTACCCCATAATATCATCAAAACTTACTTCACTTTGTGTAGTCCACAGGCTCAAATGTGTGGCTTCATTTGTCTTGTGCTCTGGGCTCAAAAGTGTGATCCAGTCTTCTAGAAATCATGTGTGCGTGTGATGGAGGAATGCACAGTGCCTGTAGGGGGTGTGGTC